CTGAGCAGCAAAGTTGACAAGCTCAGCAACTAGGGCCGAAGCAGCAGTGGACTCAAAGGAAGGGTCAGTGACAATATTAGCCAGGAAACGCGTGACAGCACAACTGGCAGCACGAAGAGGGTCAGACTCCGGGTCAGCAAGAACAGGAAGAGAGGACTCTGGAGGAGACATCAACGGGACACGCAGAGGAGCAGTGGAAGGAGGCAGTGCCATCTGGTGTGTGCTTGGGACCGTAGGAGGACGCGGACACGCAGTACGACCACTGGTGCGAGCAGCACGAACAGGCGACGCACGGCCGCGGCCACACAGCGCCTCCAGAACCAGCAAGGACAGCACCAGTACCCCCAGCGGCAGCACCAGCGCCAGAAGCACCTCCAGCTCCAACAGCGCCAACTCCAGCACCCTCAAACGTACCAGCGCCAGCACCTCCACCAGCGCCAACACCCCCAGCAGCTCCAGCTCCAGCAGCACCAACTCCAGTAGGACCGGCAGCTCCAGTACCGTCAGCAGCTCCAGCAGTACCTCCAGCAGCCCCAGCAGCACCCTTAGTCCCAGCAGCTCAAGTACCGCCAGTACGAGCACCTTCGGGACCAGCAGCAACAGTAGTACCTCCAGCTCCAACAGCACGGCTCCAGCGCCAAGCAAACCACTCGCGCAGCTCCTGCGGAGAGAGTGGCTCCCGCCTCAAAGAAGCACCGCGAGAGGCCACACGAGCGGACCCAGAACCTCCAGGCTCCGCACCTCCAGGCTCAGCACCCCCAGGCTCAGCACCCCCAGGCTCCGCACCCCTGGACTCAGCACCCCTACGCTCGACACCCTCAGGCTCAGCACCTCCAGACCCGGCACTTGCAGGCTCAGAGTCAACAGCTACCTCGACAGGCTCGACTGCGTCTACCTGGGACACACCTGACGGGGCAGGACCCTAAGGGGGGAGGGGGTCTACCGGGGGAGGACCTAGCGCAAGGAAGAGCGGCGGCGGGGGGAGGGGCGCAATGCGGTAGGGGAAGAGACGGTAGTAAGGCACCGACTCGTCAAAGGTGACGTCCTGGGAGGACAGAACGCGGCGCGAGGTGGGGTGGTAAATCTGCCACCCGGGCTCGTCAGGGGGGAAGCCAAGGGAGACGCAAGGAATAGCACGGGGGGACAGCTTGTCCGCAGACAAGTCGCGGACAAACGCCCGAGATCACCAGACCCGAAACGCAGACGCATCGCCAACCTTCCCCGTCCACCACAAGGTGGGGGAGGTCTCTGGCAAGGAGACCCGGGGCTGAAGGTTGAGCTGATGCGTTGCGTACTGAACCGCAAACGGCCACAGAAAATGGGGGGTAGCCGCATGGATCATGGACGTACGGGCGACGTCCATGACCATGCCAATGCGGCGCTCAGCAATCCCATTTTGCTGTGGAGAGGCCGGAAGCGTGAAGGTCTGGCGGATGCCCTGTGCATGATAGAAGGCTCCCAGACGGGCAGAGGAAAACTCCCCGCCTCCGTCAGAGTGCATACGCAGAACAGGAAAGTCCGAGCCGAAACTCTCTCTGAGCTGGAGACGAGCTGTGCGGATCCAATCGATCAACACCTCAGTGACATCACCCTTGCTGCGCAAGGGGAAGAATGTGGTGTAACGCGAGTAGTCGTCAACCACCAACAGGAAGTAACGCTCGTGCCCCTGGCCACGGACGCGGGCGGGGCCCCACACGTCCATGTGAAGAGTCTGCAGCGGAGCCTCTGTCGGAGGAAACTCGGAGGAGTGAGGGGCGGCGCACAGTCGCCCCTCGACGCAGGGGATGCAGGTAGGGGCAGGCGCCGGAGGCAGGGGAGGGATAGACCGGGGGAGACCAGAGACAAGGACACGGGAGGCCATGCCTTGGAGACGAGGCAGGGAGGGGTGACCAAGGCGGTGGTGCCAAAGGAGAGTTTGGTGGGACAGGAGACGACACGAGGAGGGAGCAGACTCAGGACCAGACATGGACGCTACAGCAAACACCTGACTCGACGCAGCTACCTGACCAGACTCAGCAGCCAGAGGAGACTCAGTAGTAAGTATGTACAGGCTCGACCCCTGTTGACGGGTGAACGTGGCCAAGTGTCGGCCTGCCCGAGCACACGTGCAGTGGGTCACCCGCTGACTCGCAGGAGTGAACAGGTCAACCCCCCTATCCTGTAGATCAGCTCCACTCACCAAGTTCGTAGAGAACGAGGGGAGGTAGAGACCTGACAGGGTGCCAGAGGGGGCTGCCGGGCACGGTAAGACAATGGAGAAGCTAGCAAGGACAGGACCCCCAGAGGGGTCCGCCAGGGAGACCGCAACCGGCCGACTAAGCGGCGTAAGCGTGGTGCGGTCTCGAAAGAAGGAGCGGGAAGCACCCGAGTCAAGGGTGAAGGTGTGTAAGGCCTGAGCCGACGTAGTCCCTGAGAGAGTAGACTCACCAGCACCTGGGGCAGCAGACGCACGAGCACCTAGAGCAGCAGCCTCACCAGCACCTAGAGCAGTAGCCTCAATGCGCGGGTCAGGCGGAACACACAGGTAACAGTCACCCTCAACACTATCAGACATAGCATATTTGGCAGCAAGAATAGCATCAAGATCAAAGATAGCAACCCCCGCCCTAGACAGATCTCCCCAGCGAGGGATCTCAGTGGCCTCAGGGAACTGGTGACGCCATGCGTCCGTCAGGCGGCCGAAGCAGCGCTGGGTGGAGTGCGAGCCCCCGCACTGCTCACCAGCGCGGTCGCCGGTACGGAGGACGTAGGTGCAGGGACCAGTACCCCCACCGCGCTGACGCGCAGCGTACCACTCACGAAGCTGCTGAGGGGATAGGGTCTCACGACTACGCTGCTGCTGCTGGCGTGGACCACCACCGGACCCACTCCTCTGCGCAGAGCTGCGACCAGCTCTACCGCTGCTGCCGCCGCCTCCGCCACCTCCGCCGCCTCCGCCATCTCCGCCGCCTCCTCCACCTCCGCCGCCTCCGCTCCCTCTGCCACCGCAGCCGCCTCCTCCGCCTCCACTGCTGCCACCGACACCTCCACCCCCGCCACCACTCCCACCACCACCCCCACCCCCTCCACTGCCTCCACCACCACCTCCACCACCCCCGCCAGCCCCTCTAGCGCCCTTGCCTCCCTTGCCCTTGCCGGTGCGGCGTCTCGTGCTAGGGGTAGATGCAGCGCCGACCGACTCGAAACCTACGAGGGCGGCCGCAGCAGCAGAAGCAACAGAGGGCAAGAGGGGGGAAGGGGAACACCCCTCAAAGACGGGGGTGCGAGGGTCACCACGAGAGGCTCCTAGAGCGACTATGCTCTTCTCTGCTGCTAGGAGGCGCTCCTCGAGGAGGTCAACGGTGAGTATGGTGGGGCAAACTGAGAGGAAGTGGTCCTTGACTAAGCGAAGGGAGTCAGGGAGTCGGGTGACTATGTAGTAGAGGGTGATGTACATGGGGGGGGGGGGGGGGGGTTCTTGGCACAGAACTTTGCCGGAAGCGCAGCGCGGTAGCGAGCGTCACTAGTGCGGAGGTGCGTAATGAGGTCAGCGACTGTGGGAAAGGCAGCAAGGTCAGGGAAGAGGTACGGTAGCATGAGGCGGCTTAGTGCAGCAGTGGCAGGGGAAGAGTAGCGTGCAACTACAGCGTCGTACAAGGTCTTAGCACTCTTGTACTGGCAAAAGTGCGCACGCTCAGTGGTCGGTAAGTGGCGACGCACAGCAAGACGGGCAGTAGCATTGCGTGTGGCCCACTGTGAGCGAACAGTTCTGTCAGCAGTAGTAGGCAGGGCAAGGGAGGCACTAGAGGTGAGATCGAACAAGGAGAGTCCGTCTGCCCTATCGCACTGTAGGAATAGCTGGAGGTCATCGACTTCGACTTCAAAGTCAACAGCACGACCCTTGGCATCAAAGGTAAGAACACTGGGGGTAGCCATGACTGCAGTGGCCTAGCAGGGAGTGATCTCACCAGTCCGAGTAAGTAGGGCCGGGGCGCGACGGTAGGAACAGTAGCGGCTCGACGGCAGGGCGGCTCGGCGGATCGGCTGCTGGGCGGCTTGGCGGCTTGGCGGCTCGGCTGCTGGGCGGCTCGGCTGTCGGGCGGCTCGGCGGCTCGGTTGTCGGGCGGCTCGGCTGTTGGGCGGCTCGGCTGTTGGGCGGCTCGGGGGCTCGGTTGCTAGGCGGCTCGGCAGCTCGGCGGCTCGGAAGCGCGGGGGCTCGGCTGCTGGGCGGCTCGGCGACTCTGCTGTTGGGCGGCTCAGTTGCTGGGCTGCTCGGTAGAGGTGGCGACGGGGCCGGCAGAGGCGGCGATGGGGCCGCTAGGGGTGGCGACGAGGCGGCGTAGGGAGGGGAGCGGCGACAGGGCCGGTAGGGGCGGCTACGGGGTCGCGTAGGGGCGGCGACGGGGCCGCTAGGGGTGGCTACGAGGTCGCGTAGAGGCGGCGACGGGGTCGTGTAGTGGCGGCGACGGGGCCGCGTAGGAAGGGGAGCGGCAACGGGGCCGCTAGGGGTGGCGACGGGGCTGCTAGGGGCAGCGATAGGGCCACATAGGGGCGGTGACGAGGCCGCTAGGGGCAGCTACGGGGCCGCGTAGGGAGGGGAGCGGCGACGGGGCCGCTAGGGGCGGCGACGGGGCCGCGTAGGGGCGGCGACGGGGCCGCGTAGTGGCGGCGACGGGGCCGCGTAGGAAGGGGAGCGGCGACGGGGCCGCTAGGGGCGGCGACGGGGCCGCTAGGGGCGGCGACAGGGCCGCGTAGAGGCGGCGACGGGGCCACGTAGGGGCGGTGACGGGGCCGCGTAGGGGCCGCGACGGGGCCGCGTAGGGAGAGAGGCGGCAACGAGGCCGCTAGGGGCGGGGACGGGGCTGTTAGGGGCGGCAACGGGGCCGCGTAGGGGTGGCGACGAGGCCGCTAGGGGCCGCGAGGGGCCTGGAAGGGCGGCAAACAAGGCGCGCCTCGGGCAGGAGCGACTGACGCTCCGGTCAGAGAAAAATTGCAGTGGTGGGCCCAAGGAAGCTTTCCCACTAGGGAACCTGCTCTATACCATGTGAAGAAACGAGGAATGAATGAACTAGCACAAGATTGGGTACAAGTAGGAAACCCTAGGAAACTGTACCCCATAGTGTCTACCCCACTATAGCCTAGACAAGCTATATGATATAAGTTTGACACCCAGCACCGACACGACCTGCTCCATGTGAGGGCGCAGGGTGGGGTGCTCCGTGGTGGACCACAGCGCGATGCGCAGGAACGTGCTGAACGTCTCCTCCAGCCTGGCTACCATCTCCCCTACGCTCACTGCCCCTTTCTCCCACTCCCCCGCACCGCCTGCAACTACACCCTCAGCAGCAGCAGCATCGGCACCATCAGCGGCGGCGGCGGCTATGGCAAGCAGGGCGTCATGGAGGCGTGGGTCGATGACGGAGGCGAGGCCCTGCGGGCCGAAGATGAGGTGCAGCACGACCTGGCTGAGGGGCACGTGCTGGATGAGCGGCGGCTGCCCCGTGGCCAGCTGAAGCAGCACCACCCCGAAGCTGTACACGTCACTGCTCTCCATCAGCACGCCTGAATGCACGAAGTAGGGGTCGATGTAGCTCAGGGGAAATGGGGGCGGGGGAGAGGGAGAAATGGGTGAAGTAGGATGGAGGGATGGGAGTGAGGATGTGGGCCATCTCAGTTCAACTGAATGTAAGACCACACTGCATCTCACCCAGCTGCCCATGCCCTCACCGCAGTGCACCACAAGGCATCTCACCCGGCTGCCCCTGACCTCACCGCACATCACCGCATGGCATCTCACCTTGCTGCCCACGATCTCATCGGGCATGAGCTCTCCGCGCTCCGGCATGGACTTGGACTTGCCGAAGTCCGCCATCTTCGCCTCCGGCGCTGTTGTCAGTAGGATGTTCGGCAGCTACCATGCTGCAGCAGAAGGGGGCGAAAGAGCGCGGAAAAAGCAGTGAGGGAGGATTAACATTGAGTGAGCCTCATATGAAATCATTCCGGTATGGGTAGGAAAAATGAGATTAGAAACGTCGCCATATTTCATTCATGGTATGAAGATTAAGGCATGGCACGACCCACCTCGATGTCGCGGTGCAGGAGCAAACATAGGCACACTTCATCTATGTTATGAAGACTAAGGCACGTTGCGACCAACCTTGATGTCGTGGTGCACAATGGCAGGCCGCATCTCGCGGTGCAGGTAGTGTAGCGCACCCGCTGCGTTCAGCGCAATGCGCATCCGCTCCCGC